ACACCCCACACTGGGGACTGAGCCCATAACCCGGCAAGTGCCCTGACCAGGAATGGAACTGTAACCTCTTGGTTCACAGGTCGACGCTCAACCACTGAGCCACACCGGCCAGGCATAAATTGTTAAGTATTTGATTTCATGCTCCTGAGATGCCAGATTCCATAAATGTATCACCCGTAAACAGTAGAACTTCCCTTTGTTTCTCCTAAAAACTCAAGGTGTAATCTCTTACTCTGTGTACCAGGACGGATTGGAAAGGTCTGGCTCTTTGCTTTTCACACCTTTCTTGATTGTATGGTTTCCAGGCCTATCCTCTAACCTTCCTTTGTCTTTGCAGAGTAGAGTCCTATTTTTTAAAGTCTCTTAGAATAGCCCTTCTCTGAATGGTTTTAGCCGCCTTCCTCTGGATCTCTTGCCTTCGTGTCCCCGGAGATACAGTGCACAGTACTCCAGATTCAGCTTCGTCGTGGTTTTATATTTGGATAGAATGCTTGTTGTTTTGTTTCTAAAAAGCCTTCACGATGGTGGCTGGCCAGATGCTGTTGGCTTTTTTAGCTGTGGCAGCATATTAAGCCAATGCCTTCTGGGAACAATAGAGATCGATTCTCTACTCCCCTGCCCCGCCCCCCCCTTCTGGCTTATAACTGATTGCTCATAGCTACCCTTTAATGAGTAGGGCTAGAAGTACTTTTTCCCAAACTGTAAAACTATCATTGAAGCTTATCTGCCATTTTTTTGTCGGCTCACCCAGCCTAGAGCTTCTCTTGTGCGCCACCACCAGGAAGGATGTGGGCGCATCTGTGAAGCTGGGCATTTCATTTCACCAGCGCACACTTTCCAACGGAGACCAGTCCCCCCAACATTTAACGTTTGAACACTTTTCCATCTCGAGGGACGCCCATGTATTTGTTTCCTTTTGTTAATCCACCTTTCAGTTATGAGAAAACGTTTCCCTTTCTCCATCTCCTCGCCCACCATGTAACTTTGAATAACCTCTGATGGAGAACCTTGCCGGGAGCATTTTAACCTCTAAAATTCTGGCCACTGGCTTCCCCACGAATGGTAATGACCTTGGGGATGAGTCAGATATGATTTTCTCTTGCTGGACACATGTTGCTTTTCTTTTAGCAGGTTCTGCTTCCTGGAGCACTCAACACAATGTCTGCAGTAGAAAGAACATGGGCTTTGGAGCCAGGCCAACCTGGGTCTGGATTCTCCATTTATAGTTAATGTCCATGATGTGACCTTGGATGGATTACTTAACCTCTCTGCGTTTTCATTGGAAAAATGACGGTGCTAATAATATGCCCCTTAAAGTCACCTGGGATCTCGTTACAATGCAGTTTTTTTATTCACTGGGTCTGGTAGGACCTGAGATTCTGCATTTTAACAAGCTCCCAAGTAATGCTGATTCAGGAGACTTCAAAAAGCAGCGATTCTCAAATTCGACTGCGCCGTGAAATCACCTGGGAACCTTTCAAAACCACCAGTGCTTGGACCTCACCCCCTGCCCTCTCTCCCCCATTCCAGTTTAACTGGCAGTGGGGTGTAGCCTGGGCACTGGGTTTTTTCAAAGATGATTCTAATATACATGGAAGTTTGAGACCCATTGCTTAAAGGGGGATCTGATGTGATGTGATGTGATGTGATGTGATGTGATGTGATGTGATAAACCCGGCACGTAGTAGGTACAAAGAAAATAATGGGTTTCTTCCTCCTGGTTGCTTGTCCTGTGCTTCCCACTCTCCACCCCAGTGCCCAGTCTTTAAATCAGGCAGGAAACAACAGAGCAGCTACTGTTGTCGGGTCTTCGCTAGAGCCCCTGTCCTAGTTCTCACAGCTGTGAGTGGAAGGGACCAGGATAATGCGGCGGGCCTGGCACTGGGAATTTTAAAAGCGCCTCAGCTTTCATACTAACCATATTCTAATATGTAACCAAGCTTGAGAACTTGTATCTTTTTATTAGCTAGCAAAGACTGAAGAACACTGGAGTTAAATACAATGCCAAGGGAAGTGCAAGGACTCCGGGCTGGAGTGGCCAAGTGCGTCCCAGAATGTGGCGGTCCCTCGAGACTCCCTTCCCCCGTAGTTGGAGGGACCCGTCATCCATGGCCCACAGCACTAGGTGGCTTCCTCGTGCCTTCGCTCCTTCTCCCTCCTCACACCCAGCCAGTCCCTCCTACAGGTGTCCAAGAGGCCCCGCCCCTGCTGCTCTGCCCTTTGGCCCTGCAACAGTGAGTGTGGATTGGTCCGTGGAAGCTGGGATGAGCGAGCCCAGAGAAAGGACCTGGAGCCCCCCTCTGGAGCAACCCCACGGCTTCCTTTCAGTTCATCAAACATTGATTGGGCACTTACTCTGTGCCTAGCCCTGTGCTAAGCCCTGACACTGAGATCTGATGCGACATGATTCCTGCCCTGAAGCAGCTCTCAGGAGAGGCAGGACGTAAACCAATAGCAGGAAGGTGTCCTGGTTATTGAGGAGGCCAGAGGAGGGAATGTGCAGATTGGAGGGAATCAGAGGAAAGTCCCAAGATGCTGAAGCTGCGTCTGCAGAAGTAGCGGTTTTCCGGGTGGACGTGGTGTGGGAAGAGAGAGCAGCGTGGTGGAAAGGCTCGGCACGTCTTGGGAGCTGGAAGAATAGAGCACACCGTGGGGGCGGGGAGTAAGCGGTAAGAGGAGACTGGGAGGCTAGGGCAGCCCACTGGCCTGTCACTTGGGTGTCTATCCCGTAAGAAGTGCATGAGTTTGCAGCAGAGGAGAGGCACACTCAGGCTTGTGTTTCTGGTGGCTCCTCTGAGTGTCATGTGGAAATGGATGGAAGGGGAAACTGAGGCAGTGACTCGCTCATGGCAGTGGTCCAGGTGAGTCCTGAGGATCGCAGTGAAGTCAGCAGATATCACGAGGCTGAAAAGAATAGAATGGTGTGGGCCACACCAAGAAGACGGACCTGATGGGATTTGAGGACTGGCCGATGTTGGGAGGTGTGTGAGATGCGGGGCGGGCACTCGGGTGAGGTAGGCAAGGTGCCTAGGACACAGAATGTAAGGAGTTGCTCGCCCACCTTGAGTGAAAGGGGAGTCTAGGATGAGTTCAGGCCTGTGATCTATGGTGGAGTGAATGGTGAGACATTAACCCCAAGCAGGGCCTGGGGAGGTTCAGGTGCAGCAGGTGGCTGTGGTGTGGTAGCGAGGACAGGCAGCCACTGGAGGGCGCCGTTCCCTGCAGCAGCTCTCTCCTTGGCCTCAAGGCTGCATGGGGCTTCTCTAACTGACCCAACTTAGCTCAGTGTCCTCTGGCACCTTCACATAGTTCAACCTCTGACCTCCCAAACGCACCCTGAACCCCTGCCTTGCTCTGTCCTCAGTGATGGGGTCTCACAGGTGGCATAGGGGTTCCCTTCTGACAGCACCCACTGCTTTGAGAGCGCTCAGGCAGCTCAGCTGGTTCCACTGGGAAAAATTCCAGTGGGGAGACAGCCGATGTTTCCTGGTGGCTCAAGGTGATTTCAACCTTCCAGGAAGCCTGGGATGAAATCAGAGGACAGCTGGAGTGCCCTGGGGCAGCACCTCTGACTAGCAACAGTGAAAATGCATTTCATGTAGCCCTAGCCGATTTGGCTCAGTGGATAGAGCGTCAGCCTGCGGACTGAAGGGTCCCAGGTTCGATTCCCGTCAAGGGCACATGCCCGGGTTGCGGGCTTGATCCCCAGTGTGGGGCATGCAGAAGGCAGCCTATCAATGATTCTCTCTCATCATTGATGTTTCTATCTCTCTCTCCCTTTCCCTTTCTCTCTGAAATAAATAAATATTAAAAAAGAAAATGCATTTCATGTAGTCACAATTTACACAGCTCACACAAATCTGTTACCATTTAAGCTTCAGAGTCAGCAGGCACCCATGGAATGTCTGTGCCAAGCACTGGGCTAGGAGCTTCCACCGGGAGTGGGGGTGGGGGATGGGATGGCGGGTTTGTTAACTACCTGCCTGACCTGAGGCTAGTTCCCCTCAATTTCTTTCTTTGTTAAAGAGGGAGAGTAGCCCTGGCCAATGTGGCTCATCCACGCACCAAAAGGTCACCGGTTCGATTCCTGGTCAGGGCATATGCCCTGGTTGTGGGCTCGATCCCCAGGGGGGATGTGCAGGAGGCAGCCAATTGATGTTTTTCTCTCTCTTCTCTCTCTTTCCCTCCCTCCCTCCCCCTCTCTTTCCCTTCCTCTCTCTCTCAAATAAATTTTTAAAAATTTAAAAACAGAGAAAGTAATACTACCTCTCTCAGGGTAAGGACAGAGATAATGTCTGTTAAGGGTCTAGTTCAGCCCCTAGCGCATGTTTGGTAGCCATCCTGGGTCCTAGTCGGTTCTGATGTTAGATGTGAGAACTGAAGCGGGTAACTTGGCCAAGGCTTTGCAGTTAGTGGGTAGAACCCCGTCTGTCTGGCCATCTCCAAAGCTATGTGCCTCCGGGGCCCCATGTGCCCCTTAGTATTACAGAGTCTTCTGCCTTTGGCTTTTCTTCTGCTTTCCATGTCTGCCTACAACTAGGCTCTTCCGTTGCCTGTGTTGAGATCCCTCTTCCTGCATCGGGAGACAGTCATCCAAAAAGCTGGGCCGCCCAGTGACTATCTTCTGAGCTCCCCCTCCTGAGCACCAGCTGGGTGCTGATCGCCAGGATTAGGTTGCCATCTGCACCCCCGCCCCTCCCCCCCCCCCCAGGCCTGCGAACCACCTTCCATCTGGATCCAAAGCAAACAGATCAGGGGCCCTACGTCCCCTGAGGGATTACCTCTCCTTTTCTCACCCAATGGTCCTGCCAATAATGGGCGCCTTGTGCCGGGGCCCAAGAAGCTGGAGGAAAACGCTTCCTTCTTGTTGGAGGCCCCACTGGGACACGTCTTGTGTCTCTTCTTAGAAGGACCACAGAGAGCAGGGAAGCAGAACCTCTCAGCCTGGGGATCCTGTGCCCCTTTAAAAAGCCTGTCTCTAACCCCGTCTGTATCCCCAGGCCATGGAGAGCAAGCTGCTCATCGGGGGCAGGAACATCATGGATCACACAAACGAGCAGCAGAAGATGTTGGAACTGAAGAGGCAGGAGATTGCCGAGCAGGTAGGGCTGGGGCTTCAGGTCCCTGGGGGGCGCATGGCCTTGAGGTCATGTCTGAGGGGCATGGGGCAGTAAGCCATCCTTGACTCAGGATCCCTGGACCAGTGCCGAGAACCTAAGACAAGCTGCCCTGGATCCCATGGGTCCACCAGCCCAGGGCCTGTCTGGCAGGGGCATGGCTAGCTGGTGGGTGAGAGGAAGTGGTGGCTCTCCACCATGTCAGCCTCCACAGCACCTGGTACGCATTCCTGGGCCTTCCACAAGGTGCGAGTCCTTAGCCAAGTGTATGGCTATGTCCCGAATCATCACGAACCACAATTTGTTGCTCTTATCAGTCAACTGTAACACCACGTGGGGAGATGGTGAGGCAGCTGGGAAGCCCGTATGCGGACATCTGTGTAAGTGGTTGACACCTCTGGAATGTGCCAGTGATGAGGGCTGGGTCTCCATCCACAGGGGCAGTGCCTAGGAAAGGCATGGCAATAGGAGCTGAGAAGCAGGTTCAGAGAGGAGAGGCTCCACTGAGGTTGGGGTGGGAGCCACGGATGAGGGCCATGCTACTCTCCCTTCTCCCTCCTGGCAGCTGGGGCCATAGGGAAGCCATGTCCCACGGGAGGCAGAGTGAGCCTGTCCCTGAGCTCCCTTGACCTTCCCTGGTATGTGCTGCTGCTCTGAGCCCCTATGCCCTGCACTGGCCTAGAAACGCCGCGAGCGGGAGATGCAGCAGGAGATGATGCTCCGAGATGAGGAGACCATGGAGCTCCGGGGCACCTACACATCCCTGCAACAGGAGGTGGAGGTCAAAACCAAGAAACTCAAGAAGGTGAGATGCCACAGCAGGACGGGGTCCGGGGATGTGAGGCACCGGCAGCCTCTGCCCAAGACAGTCACCTGTCCAAGGGGTGTGCCTTTTAGGTCCTCTCCCCACTTTGCTTGAACTGCTGAACCCAGTTACATTGCCTGGGCTGCTGGGGGTGAGGAGCGGAGAAGGCAGGGGTTGGTGTTAGGGTGGAATAGAACTGTTTCTCCTGGGTCAGGCTAGGCCTGATGGGCTGGGAACACCGTCATTTCTGGTCTCCAGGGTGATTGTCCTCATGGTCCTGGGTAACTTCCCCTTTTACAGTGTCGCCAGTGAGTCACAGTTTGGATAGCTGGGCCTGGAGCAGGGCCAGGGGAGTGGTGAGCCTGGGGGAGCTCCAAGAAGGAAACACAGGGCCCCCAAGGGCATGTGAAGGGATGAGAATATCATCACCAGAACCCTGCAAAGGCAATGCCGGGAAAACATGTGTGCATGAGATGAGAGTCGAGGGTAGGAAGCTGCAAGTCTCAGCCTGGATTCTAGTAAGAACCTGGAGAGCTCTTAGGGTTGCCGATGTGGCTGCCCCAGAGTAGGCCAGGCAGCGGCCCAGTCACAGTGGCAGTTTCCAGGGACACACCCTCCGTGGCTGGGAGTGGGGCAGCGGGGTCAGTGCTGCCCTCTACACCCCCACTTCTGAGAACCCCTGGAGAGGTAGGAGTGGGGTGCTTCACCTTCCAAACTGTCTTAGACCCCCTCCACTGCCTAAGCCCTGGACTTAGGCCCTGATTCTGGCTCTTCTATTAACTAGTTTTGTGACCTTGAGCAAGTCTGCGCATGAGTTTCCTCACCTATAGAAAGAGGGTGTTGAGCCAAAAGGTCCCCAAGAGTCCCTTCCAGTGTGAACATTCCATGCTGCCGACAGCAGCTGAGAGAGAGCAGGTAACAGGCCAGCATGGAGGAGGGACAGGGCAGCCTTTGGATCGCCTGTCCTGACTGGTGGTGGAGCCGCAGGAGGGAGATTCAGACCTGGCCCTGGCCTATTCCTGTGCTGAGCCTGGAACCCTGAGCCCAGGTGGCCTCTGAGCTGCACCTGTCCCCACCCAGCTCTACGCCAAGCTGCAGGCGGTGAAGGCGGAGATCCAGGACCAGCATGACGAGTACATCCGTGTGCGGCAGGACCTGGAGGAGGCGCAGAATGAGCAGACCCGGGAGCTCAAGCTCAAGTAGGCTCCCTCCTCTTCCCATTCCTGGTCCACAGTCAGCCCATGGGCCCCGTGCTTCTCCCGACAGGATCTTCTCCTTCCTGAAGGACTCCTTCCGCCTGTCACCCATGAGTCCATGTGTCTTAGGAATAACGTGTTGGAGGGATGCGGGAGAGGCCCAGGTTCTGGAGTTTCTTCTACCTCCTTCCCTCCTCAGCCTGCATTTGATGAACTCCCCCAAAGTGCAGGCTGGGTGCTGGCCAGAAGGAATCCCTTTGGCCCTGAACCGACACTCTTTGCGTTAGAAGTTATGTTCAAGGCCTGCTATTTCCCCTCCCCCAACATTGTGGTTTCTCCGCCTGTGTCCCTTCTTTCTGCCTCTTTGCTTCTTAATTCTGATCCTTCAACTTCACAGATACGTGTGGGGTCCCTCTCCCCAATTCACATCCCTACCTCCTTTCTGCTCCCAGGTACCTAATTATTGAAAACTTCATCCCCCCTGAGGAGAAGAACAAGATCATGAACCGGCTTTTCCTGGACTGTGAGGAGGAGCAGTGGAAGTTCCAGCCGCTCGTGCCAGCCGGCGTGTGAGTCTCTCACCCAGTCGTCTGGGCCTCGGGACTCGGGCCAGGGTGGAGGTGGCCAGGGGCCTGTGGGGAGACAGGTTTCTATAGATTGGGGAGCGAAGAGGATGATTCAGATGGAGGATGGATTTTCCAGGACCTGATGTAGGGGTCTCCATGAAGGAAGGGTGTCCCCCTAACCCCCCCAAAAAATGTTCTCCTTGGCCTGGGATGCAGAAAATTTTATATGAAAGGCCTGAAGCGGGGGAAGAGCATCTCAGCCTCTTGGCAATCCCAGTGAATGCTAACATTTGGCCAGTCTGATGAATTTTCATTTGTCTGGTGCCAAGAGCAGCAGCAATAGTTAATATTTACCTTCCTGTGTGTTGGGCACGATGGGAGACTCTGCAGACAGAAGGTAAATCCAACTCAGTCAGCACTCAAGTCCGGTGGGGAATACAGGGAAGTAACTAGATCAGGAAATGATAGAGGTGGGACCCAGCCTTTATAGCTTCACTCAGCTCCGTGATTCAGCATTTCCACCTGTTTCCACATCCTAGCCCTTAGGTAGTTTGAGTCCACTGGGTGGGTGTGCAGCTCCCTCTGCTGGTAGCCATGAAGAACAAGGCCGGATAGTCAAACCCAACAGAGTAACTGCCTCACTCAGCTGGACCGCTGTCCCTTCATTGAAAATCTGTATGTATAGAAGGTTTATTTTTAAATTAGTATATATTTTCATTCAATTTATATATTAAACTTAGTGATGGACACATTAAACAAATTACTACAAATTACAAGTTTATACAATTGATTACAAATTTCACATTAAATAAATTTCTACACCATTAACTAAAAAAGGATACGCAGAATCTTTAAATTGCCCTTGTGGAACACTGAGTAATGGCCTCCAAAGAAATGCTAGTGAGGCTTCTGCTCTGTAGGTTCTTGGAACCTGTGGAGATGACCTTATCTGGCAAAAGAGACTTTGCAGGTCTGATGAAATTAAGGGGCTTGAGGAGGAGTATCCTGTATTATCCAGGTGGACCTTAAATGTAATCACAAGTGTCCTTAAAAAAGGAAGGCAGAGGAAGATGAGACTCTAGAACAGCCGTGGGCAAACTACGGCCCGTTTGAAATGAATAAAACTAAAAAAAAAAAAAGACCGTACCCTTTTATGTAATGATGTTTACTTTGAATTTATATTAGTTCACACAAACACTCCATCCATGCTTTTGTTCCGGCCCTCCGGTCCAGTTTAAGAACCCATTGTGGCCCTCGAGTCAAAAAGTTTGCCCACCCTTGCTCTAGAAGTAAGAGATGTGACAACAGAAACAAGAGAGCACAGTGACGTAGCTGTGAGGCAAAGATTTCCGAGGAATGCCCATAGCCTCTAGAGCAGTGGTTCTCAACCTTCTGGCCCTTTAAATACAGTTGCTCATGTTGTGACCCAACCATAAAATTATTTTCGTTGCTACTTCATAACTGTAATGTTGCTACTGTTATGAATCGTAATATAAATATCTGATATGCAGGATGGTCTTAGGCGACCCCTGTGAAAGGGTCATTCGATCGCCAAGGGGGTCGCGACCCACAGGTTGAGAACCGCTGCTCTAGAGGTTGGCATTGGCAAGGAATAGACTCTGCCCTGGAGCTTCTAGGAGAAACCAATCCTGCTGACACCTTGATTTTGTTTTAGTCCTGTAGACTCACTGATGCACATAGAGGTATTTAGGAGGCCAAATACCAGTGCTCTTGCCCAGAGATTCTTTGCTCTCTCTGTCCACAAATATTAATGCCCAGATAGGGCGGGAGTCTCCCCTAAGCAGGGTTGGGAAGCTAGCTGTGTAGGTCTGTAGCTTCTCACTGGAGCATCAGATGCCGCTTCATCTGACTACTTTCTGAAAGGCTGATCCTCCCCAAGGTGACACTATACAGGTTTGTAAGGGGCAAGTTCATGAGTAGAAGACTTCTCAATCGTGTCATTTTGCACTTAAAATCTACCTTTCCAATCCCGGTAGAGACCCACAGTGGTACAGCATCTAATGCAGACATTCTCCACCCTGGCCGAAGCTAGAATCACCTGTAAGCTGGGCTACAAAGAGTCTGATTTAAAGGGTCTTGGGTGGATCCCAGGACAAATTTTTTTTTTTTTCAAAGCTTCCAGGTAAGGCTTCCAACAAGGAAGCCGGGCTCAAAAACTACTACTCCAGCGCCCTCTGCTGGAAGGAAATGCTAGTGAAGCTTCTGCTCTAGGGTTATCTTGTGCTTAGAAAACTTCAGTTTCAAGTTTGCAGATGGAGGGACTTCTTTGTGTTGGCTAGCTATGGGATGAGAGAGAACCTGAGGAAGGGATGTGCTTTTTAAACTTTTTATTTTGAAAAATAAGAATTGCAAGAATAATACAAAGAATTCCGATATACCCTCATGAAAATTCACCAATTAATATTTTGCCACCTCTTGTTTTATTAATAACTCCTTCACCCCACCACCCCAACCATTTGAGATTAAGTGGCGGATGTCCTGGCCCATCACTTGTATTTCCTAAAAATGAGGACATTGTCTTACATAACCACAATACAATGATCAAACTTAGGAAATTTTATATCAACACAATACTATTATATAAGCAAATATTCAATTTTAGCCAGTACCACAATAATGTCCTTTATGGCCGTTTCCTCCCCCTCCCCCAACCCACACACCTGAGATGGTGCATTGCATTTGTCATGCTTCTTTAGTCTTCTATAATCTGTAACTGAGAAGGGATATATTTTATTTAATTTTTTAAAACCCTGTTTTTATTGATTTTAGGGAGAGGGATAGAGAGATAGAAATATCCATAATCAGCTGCCTCCTGCACGCCCCCTACTGGGGATCAAGCCCTCAACCCCGCATGTGCCCTTGATCGGAATTAAACCCAGACTTTCAGTCTGCAGGCCGATGCTCTATCCACTGAGCCAAACCGGCTAGGGCTGTCAGGCAACTCTTGAAACATGCCCATATCAACTTATTTTGGAAGTCTATCTTTTATTTTTCCACCATTATCTCTATGTGGTTACTGGTTGATACACAACTTCTTCAGGTGAGGTGCCTTCCTTCATCACCAACAATTTTTCAACCAGCTCTAGCAATAACTTTTTCAAGTATGAGCTTTCATTTTTTATTTCTCATAATAGACTTTATTTTTAATTGTGTTTATACAAAATTATCTTCTAAGGGTTGGATATTGGGCAGTGTCTGTAGCGCATGGTTTACAGTTCACAAAATTCTATTGTAACTTTAGCTCTTTGGCCTACTGCAGAGGGTCAATCACGGAAAGTAGGCCTGGGGCAGAAGAGGGAGTAGATGGGGAGTTTGGTGTCCCAATTACAGACTCCCCTCCCCCAGCCCCTTCTTCCCGCATGCCACCCAGAATAGCCCTGGCATCTTTGTGGGGTCAGGCTGCCAATTCACACTGATCCACTGCTCCGCTCGCCCCGCCCAGCCGTGTCCTTCTGTCCTGTTCCCAGAGCCTGCAGCCTTCAAGGCGCCCCTCCGCCCCAGGCCGGTTCACGTGTACTCCTGAGACATACAGCATCGTGGAATATCTGGGAAGGTTCAGTTCCTGTCTCTTCCTAATTGGATGACCTTGAACACCAAAGACTTCATGGTGTCTGCCCTGTCTGCACCTCAGGAGGCTGTGGTCCAATTCAGATGGGATCTGTAGGCTCTCCTTATAAATGATTAGCTATTATTTTACTAATTTCCCCGCTGCCCTCCGAGCTGTCACGATGCTGCTCTCTTGGGTGCACAGCCTCCGGGGCTCCACCGCAGCAGAGCCCGAGAGGTGGGGCTTCTGCAGCCTCATCCTTGCTTGCCCTCCTCCATAAAGAGGAGTCAGCAGGGACCCCAGGTGGGGCCCCGCACTCTTCTTTTACCTTTCATCAAACGAACCACAAGGATGCTACCACTCGCTGCAGACGGCAGGCATTGTTCGTGGGCTCCTGCCTGGCTCGTTCTATTCAAGGACAGAGTGTCCTACCTGTGAATTACTTGCCTGTGAATTTCGTCCCCTCTTCTGTCTTCTAGCTGTCTGCCTTTTGGCTTCTTCATTGCTCATTTGTGTCCCTGCTTGAAATTAGCAAGTGGCATTGAGAATAAGTCACCATCGCAGGGGCCATGTGCAGAGTCCTTGCAGTGTCCGTGCTCGGTGTTTATCTTGGTTCCTCTCAGCCTTGCTGGAGGACAGGCTGCCGTAGCCGAGGCTCAGAGAGAGGAAGCCACTTCCCGAGGTCTCAAAGCTCCCTGAGCCAACATTCAAACCCCGGTCCGTCTTCCTCCAAAACCTGTGTGGGTTTTTTTTTTAAATTAAAATAACTTTTTTGTATTCTTTTCTCTTTTTCTGTTTGTTTCTAATAATAAAGCAATACATCACACTCATCAAGTTGCTGAAAGTAAAAATTCTGACATACCATGAGTTGGCAATGGAAACTTTCATAGGAATAACCACTTCAAAAGGCAACTTGGCAATATCTAGTAAAGTTGAAATGCACATACCCTATAATGCAACCATTACATTCCTGGGTATTTACCCCCGGGAATCTGTTGAATATGTACTTGAAGATACCTGTACAGAAATGTTCACAGCAGCACTGTATTTAATGTATTTAAGAGGGGGGGGGGGAATCAACCTAGATAACCATCAACAAGAGAATATATACATAAAAATATATATGCATTGCCCTAGCTGGTTTGGCTCAGTGGATAAAGCATTGGCCTGTGGACTGAGAGGTCCCAGGTTCGATTCCGGTCAAGGGCACATGCCTGGGTTGTGGGCTCGGTCCCCAGTGGGGGGCATGTAGGTAGGAAGCAACCCATCAATGATTCTCTCTCATCATTGATGTTTCTATCTCTCTCTCTCCCCCTCTCCCTTCCTCTCTGAAATCAATAAAAATATATATTTAAAAAAAAATATATATATATATATTTATCTTAAAAAATGCCCAAGCCAGTGTGGCTCAGTGGTTGAGCATTAACCCAGGAACCAAGAAGTCACTGGTTCAGTTCAGCACGAAAGGGTTGTCAGGTTGAAAACTGAAGTTTGGGTCAACAACTGAGACATCTTTTTTTTGTGAACAGTCGAAAACCAAATTGTTGGAGATGGGAGACATTCGAGAAACGAGGTTTGACTGTAATTAATGTTGAGCATCTTTTCATGTGCTCACTGGCCATTTGTAAATGGCTATTCAGCTTCTTTGTCCATTTTTAAACTGGGTTGTGTGTCTTTTTTGTTGTTGATTTATAAAAGTTATTGATAGATTCTGGATACAAGTTCCTTATCAAATACATGATTTGCAGATATTTCCCGCCCCCCCCCCATTTTGTAGATTGTCTTTTCACTTTCTTTCTACTGTCCTTTGAAGCAAAAAGTTTATAGTGTTCATAAAGTCTTATTTATCTATTTTTTCATTAGTTACTTGAGCTTTTGATGTCATAGGTAAGAAACTATTGCATAACTTAAGAGCATAAAGATTTACTACTATGTTTTATTTGAAAAGTTTTATAGGTTAGATTTTTACATTTAAGTCTATGATCCATTTGGAGTTAATTTTTTATATTTGGTGCAAGGTAAGGGTCCAACCTCATTTTTTTTGCCTGTGCATAATCCAGTTGACCCAGTATCACCTTTTAAAAATTATATTTTATTTTTATTGTTGACATTATTACGGATGTCCTCTATTCCCCCCCACCTCCACCGCTTTACCCACCTCTACCTAGACCTTACCTTCCCCTCCTTCTGTCCCTCACCACATTGTTGTCTGTGTCCATGGCTATGTTTATATGTTCTTTGCCAGCATCATTTATTGATGAGACTATTCTTTCTCCATTAAATGGTCTTGGTACCCATATGGAAAATTAATTATGGTCAATATGACAGTTTATTTCTAGGCTCTCCGTTCTATTCCATTGATACATGTATCTGTCTGCATGCCAGTACCATATAGCCTTGATTACTATAACGTTGTAATAAGCTTTCAAATTGGGAAATGTGAGTCCTCCAACTTTGTTCTTTTTCAAGATTGTTTTGGCTATTTTTGGACCCTTGCATTTCAAGCCTGAGTTTTTAGTCATTTTGTTGTGCTAACTCCTATGAAGGAAAATGAGAAGCAGAACCACTAGTCATCAGTGGTTTTGTGGAGTATGTGAAATTAGTATATGAATCTGAAAGCTAAAAAAAAATTGAATTTGATTTTTTCATTCCAGTCCTCAAGCAACCCTTGGTACTGTGGGAAATAATTGAAGCAACAAGAGTGAAGAAACATGTGCCTCCTTGTGTTATACTGCTTTTGTTTGTTTTTCTGTGCTATATTACTTTTGGTTGTGAGGTTGCATTAGAGCAAAGAGAAGAAAATTCCAGAACCTGCAGTCTGCAGGGCCTCCTGTCTACCTGAATGATACTTACTTCCTCAGAATATCATCTTCCCTTTGTGTTTGAAGGAAATCCATTCTAATATAGCCTCTCCCCTACAGCAATAACAGCCAAATGAAGAAGCGGCCAACCTCTGCAGTGGGCTACAAGAGGCCTATCAGCCAGTATGCTCGGGTTGCCATGGCAATGGGGTCCCACCCCAGGTACAGGGTAAGAAGCTGGAAAGTAGAAGGGGGGAGGGGAGAGAGGGCCCAGGGGAGGTGATGCTCACAGCCTCTGCTGCCTCCACCTACCTCATCACCCTTGCTACACCCGGTATTTACGGAGTGCCCAGAAGGTACAGTCATGGGCTGCTGCTTATGTCTGGTATGATGCTCCTACCACAGGCTGAAAACATAATGTTTCTGGAGTTGGATGTGTCCCCTCCCACTGTCTTCGAGATGGAATTCTCTCATGACCAAGACCAAGATCCCCGTGCACTACACATGGAGAGGCTCATGCGGTTGGACAGCTTTCTGGAAAGACCCTCCACATCAAAAGTTCGAAAATCCAGATCCTGGTCAGTACCACCGTGACCAGAGTGGGCAGTGGCCTCAGGGTCGGAGGCAGGGAGACTGCACGGGCTACGGGGCTACCGGGAGGGTGTGAAGGGGGTGATGACTGGGGCTGTGGGGGAGGAGTTTCTACAGCAATAGGGTGAGGGAATGGACGGTCCTCACTGTCCTCTTTCCTGCACTTTCCCAACCTCCCCTTTCACCCACTGTCCCCACCCCCTGCAGGTGCCAGAGTCCTCAGCGGCCTCCACCCTCCACCGCACACGCCTCACTGGCCTCCGCTGCTCTGCGCCCCGCGACAGTGCTAGACCATGAGTGACAACCTTCAGTTAGGCTGCCCATCTGACAGACGCCTGGGATGGGACCGCCAACCCTGGATCATCTCATCTGCCGCTTGGTGTGTGTGTGTGTATGTGTGTGTGTGTGTGTGTGTGTGTGTGTGTGTGCACGCGCATGTGCGTGTTTGTATGTGTGAGGGGGTGAGACTCTGGCAGACCGTGCCTCTGCCTGCTCTTCTCAGCCTCCTTTATTTAATTAACGTTATTTATTCATGGAGCTCAGTTAGTGTGGGGGAGAGGCCCTCGCCTGAGCCTGCCGTGGTCACTGCATAGCCTCCTTTTCTGCTGACTATAGACCCCCCACCCCCCACCCCCCAGTCAGACCTCAGGCTCCTCCCTGTTCGTTCTCCCCAGAAGGGAAGGTGGCCAGTGCCTGAGAAGAGAGGACTTTTTCTACCTGTCTCCAAAATCTCCATCTCCTCCTATGCTGATGGTGAGCAGCTCCTAAGCACCTTCTGGGACTGGGAAAATGCTGGGTGCCCCTGAGGACAGGAGAGGGCCTGACAGTGCTCCCAGCACTTTCTGGGCCTCAGAAAACCTTGTTCAGCTTCTTGGGCTCCTTCTCAAAGACTTGAAAGACCTCACCCTCCCAGCCCACGCTCTTCAGCTTGCCAAGAACCCATGGCTTCCCGGACTGCTTCCTGCGCACCTTCCCAAGCCTCGGGTAGGAGTTGTGAACCAACCAGTTGCTGCCTCCTCGGACCTGCAGGAAATGGAACAGTAATGGAGACACTGTGGACAGTCACCAAGGGAAGTCCCTCCTCTCCTCCCATGTCCTTTGTGTCTGTGCCCCTCCGAGAAGTAACTTTGGTCAACAAGTGGTCAAGCCAACTCCCTGTTTTTGAGATGCTGCTCCTTCCTGCTTCAAATGTCTTCCCTGTAGCTGCCTGGGTCCCAGTTCATAGTGGAGGGAGCGATGTCATTATCCCCCCCGCCCCCCGGCTAAACAAAGGTATCGGAACCTGTTGCTTCCCCCTTCATTTAGCACAGGAGACGGAGAGCCGGCACGATCTGCCAGCTTGGCCTATTACCCCTGCTTCTGAGTCACACGTGTTGGGCTCTGTTTTGTGGAAAACTAACCAACCCCATCTCCGGCATTGTGCACACTGGTCCCTAAGGAAGTGCTCTCCGTCTTCTTTTGTGACATCCCAAGATGTCTCCAGGTATCTCAAGTGATAAGTAAATTTCTACCAAAAAAAGAAAAGAGATTAATTTTCATTGACTTTTTAAGTATGTGTGTTGGTGGAGGGTTGAAGAGGTAATCATGAGAGAAAACCAATGGTTTAGGATTTTAAAATGCCCTATTAGTGGGAGTCTGCAATTCCTAGAAGATGAGGAATTTAGTCATTATATAAAATCATAAAATTGACTGATTTGCCTGAAATTTAGTGTGTAGGAGGTGGCGGTGGGGCTGATTGCCTGGTTATTCTCTTTCCATCAGGAAATTAACCCTTTTTACACTTTTCAAGTTCTGCTCTGAGGACCAAGCTATGGGTTTTGTGTTTTGGTTTTTTTTTTAAATCAATATGCTGCCATTTCTGCTGCAATTTCTGGACTAGATGGTTGGGCAAACTCAATTGCCATTGGCTCCTGTCCATCAAGGATATAACATTTTTTCATCAGAGCCCAAGAGATTATTTGAGACTCAGAATTCAGATACTTGATTCAACTGAGGCTGGGACAGGAGTTGTATGTAGAAATCCCCCAGGTGGCCTGGGCGCAGGGGGCCTCCGGGTCTGCATTGAGCAGCCTCTCCCAGTGACCTCCTTCTCGTTTGTGGATGAAGCAGCACGTGTCACCCCATTCGCACTTGGACACATTGACTCTGCATTGTCTGGTCACTTGACCCTCACAGTCTTATAGCACAATCTACCCAAGTTCACCGCCCCTGGTCTGAGGGCTGGGCCCGAGGTGTGGTCAGAGGAGGAGCTCCTGCCTGCAGTTTTGTGTATGTGCGTATGTGTGTGCGTGTTTGTGTGTTTAACTCCACCGGGGATACTCTACACTCAGCGTAAGATATGCTGGGAACAGGGCCACTGGGGTGGTTGGATCTCAGCTTCTCTGTTTCTCTCTCTCTCTCTCTCTCTCTCTCTCTCTCTCTCTCGATGTATCAGACATTTGGTTGACAAAGTAAGGGCCCTGATTAGGACCAAATTTCCATGTCTGTCGCTATGGTCTTTATTTAGGACAACAGCTGATGCAGTGGCCCGTATATTACATATGTAATATATAAATATATATATATATAAAACATTGCCCTCTATCTCCTTGGCTTAGATGACAAGAAATGCACCTGCACCCTGGTGCTGCCAGCAGCCTGCAGGCCCCAGCCCTGTTCAACTTAACAGTCAATAATAAAGGAATGAGTATCGTTACCGAGTTGGTTGCCGGCCTTCTCTTCCCTTTGTTTCTTCCTACTTTTACTCCCATTTTTATTTTCTCCCATCTCTCTCTCCCTTGTTTTCCTAATGTGGGTTCAATGGCGCAGGGAGCCCAGCTGCAGTTAATAAAAGGGGACTGGCTGCTTAATAAAAGGGGACCCGTCTGCCCAGTACGGCTGAGAGGCAGGTCCCAGGCTCCAGGCTGAAGTCTGTGCCAGAGCCAAGGCAGCAGCTGTTCATGTTCTTGTAGCGTCCCCACCCCGTTAATTCTGAACTATTAGCAGATTTCAGAACTGCCTAGATACTGTCCAGATAAACTGTCAATAGCATTTGACAGCTCTGCCCCAACTGCGCCTCCATTTATCAGCCAAGAGAGGCTAGAACAGCGAATGATTTGTGTACGGTAAAGCACATAGATGCGCCTAGCACATGGTGGGTGTCAGATTAAAATAAAGACTACCTTTCCCTTTTGGTGTCTTCCCAGGGCCTCTTTCCCTCCCTTTTGGGTTCTAGCGATTGGCTCCCTCTAGCATGGAGGTCTCATAGGAAATGAAAAGTAGTTGCTGCTAAGAAAACAAACACAGAGCCCCTGACTCCCAGGAGAGTACGAGGTTGGTCTGTTGCACAACACAGCCGTGAACCATTGTTTTGGCAGTGACGGTTTTCCTGGAGGGGCTCCCTGCCTCCACACCAGGCTCAGCCCTGCCTGTGACACGGTTCCAGGCTGGGGGGGGGGGGGTGTTCTGCTTTTTGAGCAGAATTTGCCAGGTGTTGTGTTAGGCTCATTTTATCCTCCCAGGTGGGAATAATTACCGCTGGTTTATAGGTGGCATTTGGGGCAACTGACTATAGTCATACTTCAGAGATACTATGGCTTCAGTGCCAGACTATTATCAAAGAGAGTTCAAATCTTTTTTGTCATGGAGGGTCTTGCCTTTAATTTGCAAAAACAACGCAACACCTAGGAAGCACAATAAAGTGGAGCGCAATAAAACGGGTGTGCGGAGCCTTGGCTAACAGTAATAACGCTGGACTTGGAGACTCTAGAACCCATGTTTTTTCTTCTGTGCCACACTACCTGTCCAAGCCATCGGTACCTCAGGAGAACTGATAGGCACCCTGCATGTTTTACAGGTAGTGGAAGCCGTGGGCAGAGTGCTTGGAAATAAAACCAAATCTGCAGACCCTTAACCTCCAGTCCTATTTTAGAAGCACTTACTCCCCCCATTAGCAGGGGGCTCACCCGTGTGGCTGACAAGGGTGGTTTTCTAAAGCTCCACGAAGCAGCCGGAAGAACTCTCCCGTGGCCCAGTCCTTTGTTGACTGTTGATAAAGAAACTGCCATGTTTAACTTCTTCCTCCAAGACTGGGCACCTGATCTCCAGAGTTACTTCCTTCTCTTTTCATTGCCTGGGGGTGGGGAGTGTGTGTGCAAACTCTTAGCCAGGACTGAAGGTTCGCATAAGCTGGCCTGAACAAAATGAGAACACAGAAGCGTGCAGTGGACGCCAAGGGTGAGAACAGAACCAGGCCTCGGGAATGGCCTACTACCAGGGCCTCAGACACCACAAAGACCCTCTCTCTTTGACCACATTTCCTTCTGGGTGGAGTTCCTGCTCTTGCCTCAGCTGCTCCAGTTCACGACGTAGAAGATATGTCTGCCAGCAGCTCTCTGTTTACATGATCCAGTCATCCGGAGACACTTAGCGTCTCAGTCCCAGTGCCAAGTTCATGGTAATGTGATTCTGATTCAGTGTTTTGGGTCAGGTGGGTGGGAACATGATATATGAATAACACCTCCAAGAGTCCTCCTGCTGTAACCATGTATATGTGGGCAGGGATGCAAATAAAGGTATTTCTCCAAAAAAGATGATAAAGATAACAGGGAGGGTGGAGTATGCTCTAACAGTTAACCAAACAGATGTCCATGACTAGTGTGTCCATCACCCAGGATGGCTCATTCTATTCTGTTCATTTTTCTTACAACAATTCACCCGCATCAAAATTATCACCCTCAGAGATTCCACTTCATTAGGTCCAGGGTAGATCCATGTGGTGGGCATTATAGGTTGCCTTTCCAATATCCATTCTTCCCTCTGCCTTATTTACAAATAATTTTGTTTAAGGAGGGCAGTGCACACAATTAGAAATACTCTTTCCAGACTCCCTTGCAGCAGGGGGTGGCCATGTGACATGGTTTTGGCCTAGGTCAGTGGTCAGCAAACTGCGGCTCGGCAAACCGCGGCTCACGAGCCACATACGGCTCTGCCACAAAATACCGACTTCTCCGCATGGGCCATGAAGTTTCAATCTCACTGTACGTGCATGCCCGCACGTGGTATTCTGTGGAAGAGCCACACTCAAGGGGCCAAAGGCCCGCATGTGGCTCTCGAGCCGCGGTTTGCCAACCACGGGCCTAGGTGATGTAAATGAAAGTTGGCTAGGGATTTCTGGAAAATTATTTTGCTTTTCTTGATTTAGATATCTCCCATCTCTCCTCTTCCCCTTTCTTCTTCCTGCCTAGAACTCAAATGCATCTTCTGGAAGTATATTCTTTCATTGAACAAAAAACTAGCATCTGCTACCCATATACTCCAAGTATTGTTCTAAGTGCTGGAGATGCAGCAGTGAACAGAAGGACAGATAGCCCTATCCACACAGTGCTTGCATTCTAGGGTGGAGAGAGAGAAAAACATATTGCACATATATAGTGTACACATAATGGTGATAAGTGTAGTCAAGAAAAATAAAGCAGAGAAGGGAGATAGGGAGTTCCAGGTACTAAGGTGAGGGGGAGGTTGTAGTTTTAAGGTCCATACTAAGAAGGTGACATCTGAGCAAATTCCTGCAGGAGGTCAGGAAGTGGACCATGAAGATATCTGGAGGAAGAGGACTCCAGGAGAGGGAAGACAAATGCAAATGTAGGCAAGACTGGATCAGGTTTGCTCAAGGAGCAGCAACCATATTGCAACCCTGAGGCAATAAGCACAGCATGTGAAGGTTGATGGAGAAGAGACACAAGGAGACCCAAGTTCCTGATGGGATTTGTGATTCTGTGCCAAGCTGGGTCTATCCACTTACGCACTTACAATGGTGCCAGACAGACCCCTTTTAGCCAGTGGCCGGGGGATTTGCCAGGAATCTGCATTTGAAATGAGCACCTCCACTCATTCCAAGGAACCTCTTTAAAGGCTGAGCATCTCGGTTCTACCATTTGTGGTTCTGAGTCATGCTCACAGTGGGCCAGCCCTTCAGCAAGCGCCAGCAGCAGGGCCCCTGCCTGTGTAGACACCATGACTGCGCTCAAGGATGGTAGCGGCAGAGGGCACACAGCCACTGAGGGCACAGAGACCCTGGGGTCCCTGTGCTCAACCACATGCTGCTTCTTCACCACTGGGTGGAGGGAGGGGACAGGGTGCTAACTTGTTTGGACTGAAAAACCAAAGTGATTATTTATTCACACCCAAAGCTCCCAGTTGCAATAAGGAAAAGAAGACCCAGAAAAGGAAAGTGTTTTCCAAAGGCACACAAATGGTGATCAGGGGAGATGGGCCTGGGAGGAACAAGGACTTACTAGTCAGACACACTGTTTATATTTTTTGTTGTGTGTTTCTTTTTATTTTATAATATTTTTTAATTGATTTCAGAGAGGAAGGGAGCGAGAGATAGGAACATCAATGATGAGAGAGAATCATCGATCGGCTGCCTCCTGCATGCTTCCTACTGGGATCAAGGCCTCAATCCGGGTTTGTGCCCTGACTGGGAATTGAACCATGACCTCCTGGTTCATAGGTCGACACTCAACCACGGAGCCATGTCGGCTGGGCTATTTTTATTTTTGATATAATTTTAAACTCACAGAACAGTTGCAATAATCATACTAAGAACTCCCACATGCACGGAAATCCTGTTCAAGTTTTGCCAACTGCCCCAAGAATGACCTTCACCACAAAAGGATCCAATCCAGGATCGTCTGTTGCACTTAGTTGTCACGTCTCTTTAGTCTCCCATCTAGAAGTCTTCCTCCGTCCATTCTTGACTTTTGTGCCCTTAACATTCATTAATATTAAAGGCCAGTTAGTGTGTGGGCTGTGCCTGGATTCAGGTCTCCTCGTGGTTAGATTCAGGTGATGCACTGCATTGTGGTCTTCTCACTGTATCCCATCAGGTGGAACACGATGACATTGCTTTGTGCTATTAATGGTCATCTTAACTTTGATTATTTATTAAGGTGGTGCCTCTCAGGCTTTCTTTGGCAAGGAGATACTGTGAAACTATGTGACTATTCCACTCCAAATTTCATCCACTAGTTTGAATACTCATTGATGTTTCCTGCTTGAATTTATTATTATTATTTATCCCAAGGGTATTTTTCCATTGATTTTTAGAGAGAGTGGAAGAGAGAGGGAAAGACAGAGGAATATCGATCTGAGAAAAACACATCGATGGGTTGCCCCCTGCACGACCCCAACCAGGACCCCAGTTGGGGAGGAGCCTGCAACTGAGGTACGTTCCCCTGACCGGAATCGAACCTGGGACCCTCTGGTCTGCAGTCCAACACTCTATCCACTAAGCCAAACCAGCTAGGGCTTGAATTAATTATTACTATATGGTTGCTAAATGGTGGCTTTTAATTTCATTGTTTCTTCTACGTTTATTAGTTGACATTAACGTGTGAGCAACTGCTTTCTCTTCTTATTTGTTTGTTTATATCAATGTGGACTCATGCATTCCTATTTTATTCAATGGGTTATTATTATTATTATTATTTGATGTTCAAATTATGCCAGATTTGGTTAGTGGCTGTGCCTTCAAGCTGGCTTCTGAGTTCTTCTGAAATGTTCCCATTATTCTCTGAGCACTTCCTTACTTTATGGCGCAAAAAGATGTTACAGACTCATCCAAGGAGTCCCTTTAGTGGTGAATGGTGTGTTTATTGCTAAAGACTGGCTCTACTCCCAGGCTCTCTCTGTGGACAGAGCTCAGGATGAATATATAGAGGCTACACATACTTGCTCACTCACACACACTATATAATTATGTTTACTTTACCTCTACCTATCTAACCATGAGCTCATACTGCTCCCTCCAGTTCCCACCCAGTATCAGGGTTTATTCCAGTGTTCCTGTTTTCATACTTACAACTCCTTTCTCTGACAGCTGAGAGACCTGGTTCCCATTAACTTCAATGTAGTTACTTGTTTGCCCAGTGCCCTAGTAGATGGCCAATTTCTTGACCCACACAGAGCTGCCACCCTGCTCAGTTGGCCTCCTCACATGGGCACTGACCGGCTCTGCCAGGCCCCTGCCATGCAGGGCTGTGCCTCATGGCTTCTGACTGAATTACGAAGGAAGGGAGAAAGGAAGGGAGGGGAGTCGGGGGAGACATTCTGTTTGAAACAGGAACCCTCCCCGATTTGATATTCCTCTCTGTGTGCTGAAGCAAATTTAGAAAAGCACAAGAGGAGGAAGAAAGGATGTGAACTGCCCCTACTCCAGGGGCTTACCAATCAAATAGTCAGGGAGGACTTCCTTCTGAATGCTGCACGTGAAAACCCAGCGTGCCCGTCACCTACTGCTCTCTGTACACGCCTGGCTTTCAAACACGTCATCCTCACATAGGCAGGCATTGGGTCTCCACAGAAGAGAAGACGAACAGTTTCCAGAGTCCCACATCCCACGTATTCACACAGACATTTTATTTCATTTCTTTTGATTGATGGATTTTAGAGAGAGAGGAAGGGAGAGGGAGAGAGAGAGAAAGGGAGAGAGAAACATGGATTTGTTGTTCCACTTATCCCTGCATTCATTGGTTGAATCTTTTTTAATTTTTTTAGTCTTGTATGTACTCCGACTGGAGATCGAACCTACCACCTTAGTATCAGAACAACGCTCTAACCAGCTGAGCTACCCAGTCAGGGCTCAAACAGTCACTTTTCAAAAATTGTATCAAATGGTCATATTTGACGTCTAGTCTGTGACCTCCCCTTTCCTGAGCTGGTGCTAACCCTGGAATATAGCTGATTAAAGAACATCTTTATTTAAAAATAGGTATAAAGTCTGATGAAGCAATTAAGCTGTTCTCCCAGGGGAAATTCAAGTGCATGTTCCCTTCCTTCCTTCCTTCCTTCTTTGCTCCCCACTGTTAGGGTCGCCGAAGGAGGGAATGCACGAGGCCAAAAGGGTAAAGAATTATGAATTCTGGCCAGCACCTAGGGAGGGGGAGTAGAGATTTTAAAGACTCTAGGTGGGTTTTTTCTGGGTGGAGAATTCTCTGGCCAGGTCCTGAGGGGAAATATAATGGTCTTAGCAAGTGGAATGTGGTCTTAGCCAGTGCTAAGCAAAAGGGAATGTCTGTTGTGAAGTGATCTAAAGGTCAGTTACCAGGGGAGGGGGTGTCAATTCAATTATTTGATCAGACCTAACACACCCATCTCTCTCTCTCTCTCTCTCTCTCTCTCTCTCTCTCTCTCTCTCTCTTTCTTCCAGGGGCCAGAGGCCCACCGGATGGGAAATTGTGATAAACACACACACACACACACACACACACACACACACACACACTCTTTTATTTTTGAGTAGTATGATAATATATTTTACTTCTCTGCATTTTACATTAAGAACACAAGACTGAAGAACATAAAATAATACTTAAACATACAAACGACCGACTTCAGTTCTGCAGTTGGGCTGGCTTTGTATTTGGTTGGTTAAAATACATATGAGAGACAGAGAGGAAATGGGTTTGCAGAAAAGTGATAAGGAGGTGAGAGAGCTATCGGGGATGTCATCTGGAAAACACAGTCACATTCAGAAAGGACAATACGCAAACAGCACCGCATGGTGGGGGCTGGAAGGAGCTCAGCAGGAAGCGCTTTGTGCTCCAGCGGGGCTCTGGCCCTCCTGGGTCCTGGGAGCTACAGGAAGTGAAAGCTGACCTTGGAATCCTCTCGACTGGTGCAAGAATTTCACTGTCACCTCTGCAAAGAAAAACGGGTTTTCTGCTTTTATGACTGTGTGTGCAACTTTTGAAACCTAATGTTAAAACCATGGAGAACCAGAGAATTCTAGAGGCTTGGCGAGCATTTGAGGAGGGACGTGTGTTCCAGGCATCCTCTTCCATTAGTTAACAAGCGGGTCAGTGGCGCAGTATGGCAGCTCCCTTTGATCTGCAAAAGTGGCTTGACTCACCTTTGTTCTTGCAGAGATCAGGGCTGCCGTATGTCACAGGACTGACAACGCAGTGTCTGTGGCCCTTTCCCCTTGTCAAATTAAATCCATGTTTTGATTGCATTTTGTCCTAGTAGGATGGGATGCAGTGCAAAGGATAATGAAACAGTTTGGTGAAAATGACAGAAAGGAATACATTGATTTTTTGCCCTCAGTGCAGTAGGGAAAAATCACTCCTCCCTCCCAGCCTCTCTCAGCAACCAGAGCCCCTGAGACCAACCTACTCCTTGCCTCCCAGGGAAATAGCTCACCCCCACTCAATTTGCTTTGGAAATGGAAAAGAATTCTATCTGAAAAAGGGGGAGGATGGCAAATAAAATATTTTAAAAAGAGAGCTAGAATTTGAAAAATCAGACCGAGGCCGAAAACCAGGACTACAGGCTTTATTAGAGAAGGACCTGTCGGGCTGTCTCACAAGGGGAGAACAGCAACTCATGCAGGATGGGCACTCCTTTTGAGGGGCAGAATGGGAAGGAATGGGGGCTTAGTGTACTCGGCGCACGCTAATTGGTGGCTTAATGTATGGTCCATATCGGAACGAGGGCTTAGGGTATTTGGCAGGTGTGGATTGGTGGTTCAATGTATAGTCCATATAAGGTGCCTGGTTAGGTACTCAGGTATTTCCAGGGTGCAGGTTACGTCATACTCCGCCCACCAGTTGGGGGAAGGGAGGATCTATCAGAATTCAGCTCGAAAAACCCCCTGTTACCAACTACAAAATGAAACTCGGCTTGGGAATGATCACTGACAGTATTCTTCATCGCATCAGTGGAGTGAGAGTTATAATCCTGGCACTTCAGAAAGGAAGGGAGCTTTATTCATTCATTTATTTAATGACTATTTGCTGAAGACCTACAAGGAGCAAGGCATTATGGTAAGTATTACCCCACCAACAAGTCCTCACTTCTGCATAGCTTACTATTATCACCTTTTTCACGGCTACATCCCCTCCCCCACCAAATCTGGCCCAGGCAGCTGCAAGAACCTAACTGGCCTCTCAATTTCTACCTTTTCTTTCACCTCCCCTCCTGCACCTCATGGTACATTCTCCACATCATAGCCAAAGAGATATTTCATAGCAAAGAAATTATATTTAAAATGTGTTAAAATAAGATTACATGAGTCCCCTGCTTAAAACCCTCCCATGGCTTTACAGTGGCCTTTAGAAACTGGACTTTTTAAAAAAGGCCTACAGGGTCCTACATAATCTGATTCCTATCTGTTTCTACGACAATTGTGTGTCACTCTTTCCCCTTCAGGATACTCTAGCTACACTGGCACTTTTAATTTTGTTCCTTAATATGCTGTGCTTGTCCCCTGCTCGGGCCCTTTGCACTTGCTAAGTCCTTTTTTTTGGAATGCCCTTCCGCCAGGCTTGTAGATGGCTGGCTCCTTTTTATCATGCAGGTCTCAAATCAAATGTCACCTTCCCAGATAGGCTTCCCCAGGCTCAACAGGTAACTTCCACTCCATCACCCTTTTTCTACTTTCTAAACACATAGCACTTGCCATTATCTGAAGGTATTTGATTTGTTTGATTGTTGCTATTAGAAGCTCTCAGTGTGGCTGAAACGGGACAACCAATGGGTCCAGGCTGCCTGTCACTGCCTGAGCCAATTAAACGAGACTGGGTTGAACCATGTATGAGCTTTTATTCCAATAATGCCGGCAGGATGGGAGAGCAGCAGGTCATCCACAAAAATCTGCTCAGCACCCTCCTACCCCCACCCCCCAACACACACTCAGGGCATTTGCCTTAGGCAACCAATCCATGTGTCTCTCTCACATACATGTTTCTCTGTGTCTCTCCCCCTCTCTTCCACTCTCTATAAAAAAAATCAATGGAAAAATATCCTCGAGTGAGGATTAACAACAACAACAAAGGAGCTGACATTTCTTATGATTGTGCACAGGTTTATTTCTAGGGCATCCTGCTGAAAGCCAACCTGAACAGTGAGAATACTTGCTAAGGGCTCTGCTGAAGCGCCAGCTCCTGGCCTCACAGAGGAGCAGAAGGCCAGCCTCCTCAGGGCCTGCCTTTATTCTTTTTTTTTTTAATATATTTTATTGATTTTTTACAGAGAGGAAGGGAAAGGGATAGAGAGTTAGAAACATCGATGAGAGAGAAGCATCGATCAGCTGCCTCCTGCACACACCCCACTGGGGATGTGCCCGCCACCAAGGTACATGCCCTTGACCGGAATTGAACCTGGGACCCTTGAGTCCACAGGCCGACGCTCTATCCACTGAGCCAAACGGGTCAAGGCCTGCCTTTATTCTTTACAAGAAGGAAGCTTAGGCCTTAGGCCGGCAGGCAGGACCCCTGGGGAATCTGCACACGCTGCAGCTAGGACACAGTTCCCAAGTGAGGGAAGGCTCCTCAGGGAACTTCGGTGAAGCCCAGCAGGAGCTCCCTGTCCCTGACTCTTGGGCCTACGATGTACCATAACCACGGCTTCTCTCCAAAAGAAGTCTCCATGGAAAATGGAAATACTAGTACTCAAACAGGGCTGGACTATTTTTTTAAAAATATGTTTTTATAGATTTTAGAGAGATATGAAAAGAGAGGGAGAGAGAGAAACATGAATCAACTGCCTTCTGCAAACCCCCGACTAGTTAGTGATCAAGCCCACCATCCAGGCATGTTTGCTGACCGGGAATTGAATCCAGGACCCTTTGATGTGCGGGACTACGCTCCAACCAACTGAGCCACACCAGCCAGGGCAACAAAACATTTTTATTTGCCTTATCTCATCCAGTTCTCATGAGGGACCACTATGCTAGCAGGTAATATTCTTTTCATTTCCCCCCAGATCTCGTAGCTACAGGTGCTTGAATTCAAACTTTTTAACTCCCAGAATAAAGCTCTTCCCTGAAAGTTTCAGGGAATAAGAAAGGAAACACCAAAAAGAGGAGGCCTAGAGAGGAGTTAATGAGCACACTAACGTCTTTCAGGCACTGCCTGAGAGCTGAGTGCATTAACACTCTGGCAATCACAGTTGGCCCCAAGTGTGGGCTAAATATGCACCTCGGGCCAGAGAAAGCCAGCAGGCACAGGGTTGCAGGTATTGGCAGGAAAAAGCCATCAGAGTGAGGAGAGAGAGGTCTATGCCAAGGGGATAGGCGCAGGGTGCCAATGCACTTGGTTGCACTCCGATCTACTTGTATCCTGCATGAAGTCCATTTTGGCACTGACTCGTCAAGGTGGTAGCCTGTGGCCATAACTAACAAGTTACTAGTAGAACCAGCCTCAATCCTGTTACTGACTACTCTTCCCCTACTTAGCATCTCCCTCTTCTACCACTCATTCTGGATCCTCCTCATCCTCGGCCAACCTTTTTTCTGGTCTCGGTTGCTCACCTCCATCTTTGAGGAATATCAGACCTGCACCCTCGAGGTTACTGAGCCCTCATGTGAGAACCAAGTAGTCCAATCCAGTGGATCCTCCAATAGGGAGCCATGCTGGAGTTTTGAGTCACTTGGTATCACTGTCAACTCAGAGATCTAAAAAAAAATATGGGTAGTCCCTTTCCCCCAGTGTTCAGTTATTCCAGGAAATGCCATAAATCCTTTTGTGGCAGGATTAAGAGAGTCACTACTGTATATACTTATTGCAGCATTTTAGGGTCATTCCTCATTAGTCAGCATCTTCTTCAACTGATGGGCTCTGGATGTGAGAACTGGCTCGGGTCTGGAAACGGGGTGAGGGACTGTGATTTTCCATCACAGTGGCTGGCCTCAGCTTCCTACTCACTTGTATTAGTTGTATATTGCTGCATAACAAATTACCACAAACTTAGGAGCTTAAAACAAAATGTGTTTTATTATCTTACATTTTTCGTGGGTCAGAAGTTCAGGCATATCTTAGCTGGATCTTCCACTTGAGGTTTCACAAGGTTGTGATCAAGGTGTCAGATGGACTATGTTTCTTTCTGGAACTCCTATCTGGATGGAGCTCCTTTCTGGAGCTTGGAGTACTCTTCCAAGTTGACATGGTTATTGGTCAAATTCAGTTCCTTGCAGTTGTAGGACAAAGGGACACCATCTTCTCTCTTATGCGCAGTTTACTTTTAGCACTTTGCTTCTTCAAGGCCAGCAGGGGGATCTTTCCGTTCAATTGACTAAGATGGAGGGGTTTTATTTGTTTTGTTGTTTTTTAAATATGTTTTTATTGATTTTTTTTTATTTTTAGTGAAAACAGTTGTATTACAGAAAAGCTTCCTGCTGCAGGAAGGGGACCCAAGCCCTGTTTTTATTGATTTTTATTTATTTATTTTAAAATATGTTTTTATTGATTTCAGAGAAGAAGGGAGGGGGAAAGAGAGAGAGAAAGAGAGAGAGAGAGAAACATCAATGATAAGAAGGAATTATTGATCAGCTGCCTCCTGTGCACCTCTCACTGGGGATCGAGCCCACAACCCAGGCATGTGCC